TATATATATATATATATATATATATATATATATATATATATATATATTTTAGCGCGTCGCTTGTGGAAATATTTAGAGCGTTTTAATTTTTCTTTCTGGGATTTTTTTTTCTCTTTTCCATTCCTTCATTTATTTTGAAGTTTTATTTCTCCGCAGCCTGGTCATTAGCTCTGGGAAGCCGAAGGATGCGAGTACCCTGCTCGGATACCGGTGGGGGGAAGTGTGGAGGGGGAAGGGGGATGCGAAGCGATGCTCGATCTTTGGCAGGGCATAACCCACAGTCTCTCAGCGCTTGTTGTTCATATGGCTTGTTTCAGGGGCGTATGGGGGAGGGATGTCTTTTTTTCCTGTGTGGCTGGGATGTTCTGAGCCCCCTTACCCACCCTCTCATCGTTGTTTCACTTCTTGAGCCCTTGGAGTCGGTTCAGTAACTCTGAATGCAGTTTTAAGTGTCTTGCCTTGTTCTCCGGCTTTTAACTAGAGTTCCACTTTAACACGCGAAAGGGTAACCCGATCCAGGCGTTTACAAAACTACAATGAATAAAAATATAGAGAAAGGGGAAGAGAAGGGAAAGAATTCCTACTGAGACTCTTTATTCATAGGTGTAGGTAATGTACTCGATAGGAACAGGTACATTTGGCAGTTTTATTGCTTTATACCCTCCAGCTTGCTGTTAACATCATGAAGGCGGTTTTTTTCGCAGGTGCACATACTAGCATTTTCTCCAGCAGCAAGAGCATGCATAACAAAAGATGTCAGAAAATAGGCTGGGGAGTGTTTGCAACACGTTGCTTTCTTGTTTCGAAATAATTCCTGCCACATAATGGATGCTAACCCCGGAATGGGAAAAAGTTGAGCAGGAGAGGGGACCACTTTGAAATAATACCTATATGCCGCCTTGGCGAAGGGAATAAGGCGTTTGAGTCAGACAAAAAGAAGAAAAAGCAGGGAGAGTCTGCAGGAGCTGCTTCCTGCGATAGGCGGCAAATGGAGTTACATGTGCATCACTCGTTCAGCGTAGCTGACAGACGAGCTGCAGTGGGGCGAGCAGGACAAGCAGGGTCTTCGGATGCGGGACGGGGGGAATGGCGGTGAGCGGAGGTGCGGAGCCCCCGCCGAGTCATCGGTGGGCGCCAGTCGGAGGGAAGAGCTGGAAACCTCTGGCGCTATTCTTTCTCCGCGGTGCTCAGACATCCTTGTCTGTCGTCGAGACAGTTGACTCCGTCCAGCCTCACACCGATAATTTGCCCCAATTTAATTAGGCCCACCGGGAGTCGCGGGGTGGGGGGCAATAAGCGCCCGAGCCGCGTCCTTGTAAAGGCGGCAGCTGCAGGGATATTTCTTCTCCGAGGGTAGGGCAGGCTCTGGGCCCGCGCTCTGGCGGGGGATGCCGGGTCGCCCGGGAGGTCCCCGCCCGCCGGGAAACCGCGCTGCCGGGCACCGGTCCTCCCTGGCTCTGACTTGCGTGCAGACGAGCTCCGTCACCGGTCTCTTTCTGAAGAAATTAGACCTGAATTAGCTCTGGACGCACTGGAGCAGTGGGGTGCTCATTTCCCAGAGTAGGCAACTCGTGAAAAAGGGGTGAAGACGGGCACCCCACACCTCCTAGTCCCCGCGCCTTGAAGTGCCTTCGAAAGCGAGCAGGCAGCAGTCACGATTGAGGGGTGGGAGCCCACGAGGGGAGCCACCTTGCCTCAGCGAGCTTCCTGAGATATGCGCGGGACCGGGAGGGCCAGGAGTCCGGCCGGATGGGGCGAGGTGCGAGTTAGGGGGCGGCTGAGGACTGCCCCGAGGCAGGAGCCCCTGCACCACCTCCTGTGAGCACCCGTCCCTCCCTGGGAAAAGACAGCAGGAATTCACCGCATGTGACCCCCTTCCTGGCTTCTCCGCTCTTTCCGCGGCCAAGCCCGAGCTCCCGGAGGACTAGGCTGCAGCCCTGGCCGATGGCGATGGGGACGTGCCCTGCGCGTGGCTCCGCGCCCTATCCGCTCCGGACCGTGGGTACCATCGCACTCTGCCTGCACATCCCTGGCCGGGCTTCCCTCCTCGGTTTAAATATTAGTATTTCCTGAGAATATTAAACCCCTCGGTTTAATGTTCCCAGGAAATGCACTCCGCAAGTCACCCTCGCTCGCCTGGAGAGCAACGAGGCCTTTGCATCCCTACCTGGCTTGGGGCCAGTCCCTCTCCACGCCCGGGCTGGCTGAGAGCCGCGGGGGCAACGCTGCTTCCCCTCCCCGCCTCCCCCGCGGTCCTCCCCTGCTCCGCTGACTGCCGAAGAGCGTAGCACCGCGCATCGGACTCCTTTTGCCCCAGGACTGGATGACTTCGTGAGACCGGTCTTCGATGTCATCCTAAACCGCGCCGCTTTAATGATGTTTGCGGGTAACACTTTCAAAGGGCCAAAGTGTGTATGTGTGGTTTGAAGGCACAGTTGTGAGTCGAAAGATGTCACACAGCAGACACAACAGTCAGAAGGAGCTGATGAACAACAGGAAACGGAGTTCTATTTTTAGGGTGTAATAGGAAGTTAATGTAAGCGGTCAGAGGCTTCCTATATGCCTCCGAGCACCTTCTGTTCCATTCATTCATTCATTCATTCATGCGTTCAACAATAACAACAGGGGAAAACAAACATTCTCGTTCTGTTTCTCATCCCCTCCCTTCCCGGGAAGTCCTGCTGTGGTGTTTGCAAGGGTGGGCTCTGCAAGAGCAGTCCCTCTCTCGGGTTGCTTAGCGTGTTTTTTGGTTTGTGGGGAAGGGTGCGATAGCTGACGCTGTTCCTCAGGCGAGGCTCCTCCAAGATGCTGTCGCAGAAGGAGCTGAAGGCTGCGCTCTGGGATTATGTATCCCCTCTCCCCATTTCACACCAGAGTCCGGGAGAGTGCTTTCTATCTCACACTGGTCAGAGTAGCTGTGAAGATCCGAGAGAAACTTATTTCAGGAATTATGTTTTTGTGTGTATTCCCGCGAGAAGCCCATGCATGTGCATGAAGTGGATCTTGAAACACGATTTTTTTTTTGGTGTGTCAGAGAAAGCGGGGGGGAGGGCGGGGGGGGAAGGCAAAGATTAGTGCGGGATCTCCTGGGTTTTTTAGCAACAGTGCAGAATCCACAAAGCAATCGAAAGGTGCTCGGGAGAGAACGGGATTCTCCGGCAGAGGTGTGTGCGGAAAGTCCTGAGAGAAGCGGAAAGCCAGAAAATATTCCTGCTGGCGGCGATCCGCTCCAGATGCGTTTTTGCGGAGAGGTTCCCTTCGCAGATACACGGCACTTTCCCGCTGGACCTCGGCTGTGGCGGCTGACAAATCTGCGCCCCCGCCCCGCGCGCCGTAGCTCGGCGGGTGTCCGCGGCCGCACCAGACGGGTGTGCGGGGCAGCTGCCCCGCACGGCTCGGCTCGGCAGCCGCCGTCCTCCCCTAGCAGCCCACTCTATGTACAGCTTCCAGAAGCTATAGCAAAATAGCCCTCCTTGCATCTGCCGATGACATTTTTTTCACCGGTCTCTCAAGCCTATTTACCCCAAAA